AGGGTTTATTGAGGGTTGAGGGTTGAGGGTTGAGGGTTTAGGGTTTAGGGTTTAGGGTTCGTGGTTTAGGCCACTGAAGCCAGGAGTTGGGTGAGTTCCGGCTCTTCGGGCCGCGCCAGGACCACGAGGCAGGTCGTTGAGTTGGGGGTTCAGGGAGGTTAGGGGGTTTGGGGTTTAGGGTTTCGGGTTTAAGGTTTAGGGGTACGTAGTTTAGGGGGTTTAGGGTCTAGGGTTTGAGGGTCGGTAGCGGTGGCATTCTGGCTTCGAACTTCTGTCTGCTTCTTCCGCCCTCAGGTCCTTGCAGCAGCATCAAAGATCCCATCCAAACCCACACCTCAAACCCCAAACTCGAACCCCCACCCCCCCCCAAACCCACCAAAAACCGATTAGCAAAAAGCCAAAAAACAAAAATCTAGAACACAAGAAGCTAAACTCCAAACCCCCAACACCCAGAGACCTCAACCCTAAACCCTAAACCCTAAAATCCTAAATCCCTAAACCCTAAACAGCGATCAGGTCAACTGCACCCTGGGCCTGCCTTGTGCCCTGGCGCTCAGCGGCGAGGGGCTGCAGAGCGAAGGTCTGGGCCCCAGCGCGGCGGGCTCTTTAGGGTTTAGGGTTTAGGGTTTAGGGTTTAGGGTTTAGGGTTTAGGGTTTAGGGTTTTGGGCCCGAAGCCTTTGCCGCACATTCACGCGGGGCATCGGCGCTGAGCCTCAATCTACACGACTGGCTCAATATGCGGGTTTCGGGTGGGTTTAGCGCTAAACCCCAAACCCTAAACCCTAAAGCCTAAACCCTAAACCCTAAACCCTAAACCCTAAACCCTAAACCCTAAACCCTAAACCCTAAACCCTAAACCCTAAACCCTAAACCCTAGCCCTAAACCCTAAACCTTCAAGGCCACCCCTCCATCCCTGGGCCAGTGCGCTCAGGTTGGCTTCTACTCGCCGGGGTGCTCGGAGGGCCTGGCCTTTCTGAGGAGGATGTATGGTGGCTTCCGAAGTTAGGGGCACCTTATTGGGGGGTTTAGGGTTTAGGGTTTAGGGTTTAGGGTTTAGGGTTTAGGGTTTAGGGTTTAGGGTTTAGGGTTTAGGGATGGTGGTTTCCGAAGTTCAGGGTGCCTTACGGGGGGCCCTATGTGGGGGCTTAGGGTTTTGGGGTTTTGGGTTTGGGGTACCCTATGAGGGTCCTTACTATTTTGGGGGAATCCCACTATTTGGTGGCTATTTTAGGGGTTCCCTATCTTCGTAAAGCCCCGTACAACGACCATGCTAAAGGCCTCACATTGGGGTTTCCGAAAAATCGTGGTACTCTTAGTGGGGGCCCCTTTCAAGGGGATTCTATTCGGGTAAAAAAAGGGGTGCCCATTTTTTTTTTTTTGGGGGGGGGGGGGGGGGGCGGGGAAATGCCCAATTCAATCATGCAAAAAAAACGGAGCACCCGTGTCTTTCGCATGGACACCATGTCTCAATGCCGAGCCTCGATGAGTGCCATAGACGGCAGAACTCACGAAAGCAAAGGCTTTGCAGCGCCAGCCAGACTGGAGCCCTAAACCCCCCTAACCCTGAACCCTAAACCCAAAACCCGAAACCCGAAACCCGAAACCCTAAACCCTAAACCCTAAACCCTAAACCCTAACTCAACCCTAAACCCTAAGACGCACTAACGAACGGCAAGGGCAAGGGTGTTAAGGCTTCAGGGTTTTCAGGCGTCGGGGTCACAAGGTTGAGGCTTGCAGGCTAGCGGTCACACGCCCCTAAACCCCAACCCCAAAAACCTACGCCATAAGCCTGCAAAAGCCCAAAACCTGCTCAGTCGACTTGGCGTTCACGCGAGCCCAAGAGCCCTCGCACCCCGGAGGCGAATGCCCAAAATTCTAGACTCAGAAAACCCTGAACTATCCCTAGCCGAGCAGCCTCACACATCCCTAAACAAGCCACGAAAATCGAGGTTGTGGCCAACAGTTCAGCATCCTCGGACGCCTGCAGCGCCCCGGGTATCAACGCCAGGTCCCCATCACGGGATCACCCGAGACCGTGCTCGGAGGTTCATGGGCAGTTAGACGTAACGGCTGTAAGTGCCCTGCGGGTTATATTGGGTTTCCGAAAATACGGGCTGCGTTTTTTGGGGGTTCCTACACTAAGGATTACAGCATTTTGGGGGTAGATTAGGAGGTATCCCTATTTTGGGAAGCCCCCATATAGCTACCCTGTCTACCCATGAGCCTCTAGTTTGCCTCAACATCCGGACACGCCAGAAGAGCGAAAGTCCATTGGATCCGACGATCGCGAGGTTCGAGATGCTGGTTTAGGGTTTAGGGTTTAGGGCTGTCGAGGTTTCAAGAGTCCCGTGCCCTGCAACCACAAATCCGGGCTCCTCATACCTCAGTCTTTCTTCAGTCTTCTTAGTTCAGGTTGAGGTTAGGGACCCTAGAAACCCCAGAATGGGCACCAGAAATCCTATACAACCTACACCCGAAGCCTCAAATTCTTGAGAGGAAACAAGACGTTGGCAGGAAACGCTTCCGGCCAAGGCGACAGTCGCCGAATTCCAGGGCCTGGAGAACCCAGCGGCTTCGCCCGTGCCTGAACTTGGGTTTTCGTTGTTGGTTTCCTTTAGGTTTTTGTTTTCATGAGGGGGCCTTGAACCCTTCACACCCTAAACCCTAAACCCTAAACCCTAAACCCCAAACCCTAAACCCTAAACCCTAAACCCTAAACCCTAAACCCTAAACCCATTCGAGGTTCTAGAACAATTTTGGGGGGCGTTTGGGGTTTTGGGGGTTTTGTCGGCGTTTAGGCTCGAGGGTGATGGGGGCTTAAGGCGAAGAATTCTGCAAGTGTCAAGCCTCAGCTTTATTTAGGACTAGAGGGATTAGGGGTTTAGGGTTTAGGGTTGGGATGCTCCCCCATATACTTACAGTCCTTAGCAGGCATTCTAGTACCCCCTTTTATAATCCCTATCAAGGACTGTTAGTATAAGGGTGAACATCCCAGGTTTAGGGGCATCTTCGTGTTTAGGCTTTAGTAGAGGGCCATGATTCAAGGTACTGGGGTGGGGGGGGTTATAGATGGTTGTGCGCTGTGCGTTCTCGGCCCTAAAAACCCTAAAACCCACCCTAAAACCAACCCACAACCACCCCGCACCCCACGAGCGGGGGGAGGGCGGAATCATGTATTCAGGGTTTCCCCTACTGCGTCGGGGGCGTTCGAGGCGCTGGGAAGGTCCCTTTGAGGAGAGGCGTCACGCCTGCCCAGGCACAACAGCTCGGCTGGAGGCGCGCGCCTCCCTCTCTAAGTTTTTTGAAGGTAATATATATATATATATATGCATACGTATTTATTTATTTATATTTATTTTGTTTTTGTTTAGGGGAAGGGGTCTGGGCGACTTGGGTATCAGCCTCAGGCCTTCGCATTCACCACCCCCCCCCCCCCCCTAAAGCCCCACACCCAGATTCCTCTCCACCACTGCGCCCACCCCGAGCACATCAGGGCATCTAGGTCGGCCCTTGGGAAATTTTGAATTTTCACCTTCCCTGGCGTTTAGGGTTTAGGGTTTAGGGTTTAGGGTTTAGGGTTTAGGGTTTAGGGTTTAGGGTTTAGGGTTTAGGGTTGAGTTTGCTAGAGGATCTTCAGGATCCTAGAGGCACATGCAGCCCGGAGAGAGCATCGCAGGCACGGCCGCGTCGTTCAGCTTCGCCACGGCCTTGCACGGATCCGTCCGGGCCTCGGTCTTGGGATTTATTGTTATTTTAGGTTAGGGTTTAGGGTTTAGGGTTTAGGGTTTAGGGTTTAGGGTTTAGGGTTTAGGGTTTGTTGTTTGGGGTTTGGGGTTGGGGGTTGGGGGTTGGGGGTTGGGGGTTGGGGGTTGGGGGTGGGGGAGTAGGGCATAGAGGGTTTACTCGGTAAGCCCTTGGGACATTTTGTACTTTACCTTCTTGGGTTTAGGAGGATCCTTTTCAGATATATTTTTCAGAGGGTGTTCAGGGCCATTCTAGGTTCGGGCTTAGAGGGCTTAGACGTTTGTATGGGCTAAGAGGGTTTTGTAAGCTTACTGAATTTGCGGGCTTATACGGTTTAGGGTTTTGAGGGCTTAGGGGCTTAGAGGGTGTTTCGTATCAATCCCCAAGGCTGAGAGAAGTTCGGGAAGCGTTTAGGGAAAGTTTAGGGGCTTCAAGGACAGCTAAGGCAATAGGGCGCTCCAAACCTAAACCCGAGAATAAGGCAACCGTTACGAAGGCATCACAACAACCAGTTGTGTTGTCTCCCGTCTTGGAAACCCTAAACCCTAAACCCTAAACCCTAAACCCTAAACCCTAAACCCTAAACCCTAAACCCTAAACCCTAAACCCTAAACCCTAAACAGCATGGCTCAGTTCTACGTTTGTCCAGCAGTGTTTTGGGCCTCCTGGCTGTGTTTTCACCTATGTCACCCCCCAAGCCTTAAAGCCTCAACCCTCTCGGCCTCCAGGGCATCCCCTGCAGCTGGGTTTAGGGTTTAGGGTTTAGGGTTTAGGGTTTAGGGTTTAGGGTTTAGGGTTTAGGGTTTAGGGTTTAGGGTTGCTACGCCAGGTTGGTACCTACCAGCTTTGCCAGGAGCTCAGACGGCCAAGGTAAACATGCAACCACAGCCATTGAACACCGTAAAGGCTGGTCGCCGGCCTCGGGGAATCCTCCAGGAACAGACACCTTCGCCGGGGCCTCGGCAAGTCTAAGCATCTTTGCAAGGGAATTCGGCTGATGCTTCTATTTCGGGTTGCGTACGCGTCTGGGGAACCAACTTGGGGGAGGTTGCAGACTTCTGATCTCGGGAGGTGGCTTGAAGGTCCGACCGGCGCGACCTGTGACCTTGACCCGCAAGCCCTCGCCCTTAAAAACCCTATCAGCCCATCAGTCATCTGGGCCCCAAACCCCACAAACTCATCAAACTCCATGAGGCCACAGAAACACCATCCGGCCGAAACAACGACTCAGCCGAGGTGATCAGCGTGGGCACCATGAGCATGAGTGGGCCCATCCTCAATGAGGGACCTTCAGTCTTCAGGTACGGAGGGTTTCCTCTGAACAGGGTCTTAGTCTGGGATGCCTAGTAGCGCCCTTGGTCCTTTCTTTTTTTTTTTTGGCGGGGGGGGGGGGGTTAGGTTCCCTTATAACCCCTTTACGCAAAAAAGGGGCAGGTTCCGGGGCAACCTATAGTATAGTATCAGAAATGTCCTGCACTCAGTGGGGTTGCAGGGAAGGGAGCGGCGCTGGCTTACTTAGGTTCCTTCTCTGTCCCCAAAGGCTCCAAGAACTCTTTGAGTGTCTTTGGGCCCAAAGGCCTTACCATGTCTACAGATTTGGGCCATTTTGAGCCTAAGGGCGGTGGGATTTCGAGTCTCAAGCTTTGGGCCAGTTTGTCAGCAAACTCCCTAAACCCGAAAGCCCTAAACCGGCAAACCCTAAACCCTAAACCCTCAACCCACCCTAAACCCTGAACCCTGAACCCTAAACCCTCAACCCTCAACCCTAAACCCTAAACCCTAAACCCTAAACCCTAACCCTCAACCACCATGCCCCGGCTTAGTGTGATTTTCGAGATACAGGCTCCGGGGTCACCTCAAGCACTTCCCAGCGCCTAGTAGGGAATGAGTGCCCTAGGGGTTTAGGGTTTAGGGTTTAGGGTTTAGGGTTTAGGGTTTAGGGTTTAGGGTTTAGGGTTTAGGGTTTAGGGTTTAGGGTTTAGCTTGAAGGGGTGATTCTGAACCTAAGGGGGGGATAGAAGCCCTAAACCCGAAATAGCTCAAACCCGAATTTCCATGACTCCCGAAACCCTCAACCCCAATCCCTAAACATCCTAAACCCTAAGCCCTAAACCCTAAGCCCTAAACCCTAAACCCTGACTCCCTACAAAGAACTTCCACCCTCCTGGAGGTGCTGGGTCGGCTTTGCATGCGAGATTGCCGGGGGCCCCTGAGGATGCTTTTCTCTCTACTCCCGACTGAGAGCCCTGCACCCTGAACCCGAAACGACTGCGTAAACCCCTGAACCCCCAAACCCCGAGCCCTAAACCCTAAACCCTGAACCCTAAACCCTAAACCCTAAGCCCTAAGCCCTAAGCCCCAAGCCCCAAGCCCTAAGCCCTAAGCCCTAAGCCCAAAGCCCTAAGCCCTAAGCCCTAAGCCCTAAGCCCTAAGCCTTAAACCCTAAACCGAATTCATTGGGACTTGTGGCCTGTGTAAGGCCGTGACGGGACAGGGCCTCTCCTCCCAGAACCGGCTGCTGGTGGCAGAGGCCACGGAATCGGGTTTAGGGTTTGGGGTTTAGTGTTTAGGGTTTAGGGCTGCTGCGCACAGCACGGGTCACCACCCAAATGATAGCCTGCCTAACCACCCTCTTCTTTTTTGCTCTGTAGCCTCCGAGTCGCGGGTTTTGGGTTTTGGGTTTAGGATGTAGGGAGTAGGGTTTGGCAGCCACTATTCTGAAAAGTCGCCAACTCTCGACATGTAGAACTGAACGTGTACCATACTTGCGCGCCTGTGAAGGTATTTCAAAGCACTTTGTCCTCTAGGATGCCCCGTAGTGCCCTTATTCCGTACTTGGGGGTTTAGAATTCCCTTATAGACCCCTTTAAGCAAAAAAAGGACACCCTTTTTTAGCCTAGGTTACTGGGCAGCCTAGCTCTAGACCGCTGTAGTCCCTCGGCCTCTGGCGAGCATGCCCCCCACTCAGCAGCAAGTTTGGGGCTTTCAGGGGCTTCAGGGCCAGAAGCCTTTATCCCCTAGACCTTAACTGAAAATTCCCAGCTCCAGGGCTTTTTTTTTCTCCTTAGGCTTAAGGGAGGCTTGAAGGGTCGGGATATAGGGGTTCAGGGCTTGGGGAGTTATTGGGGGGTCGTCCTGTAGATCTTAGGCTCTTCGGGTTCTCGGCCAAGGCCTGTCATGAAAGCTTCCCCGCCCCCCCCCCCCCCCCCCCCCCGCGGAAACTGGGCCTTGCCAGGGCGCTTGCAACAGCAGGGCGCTGAGAGACCTGTGCCCACTGAGCTTGGAGGAATGGGAAGCCGGAAGCTGCAGTATTCTTGCTCCCTGACCTCAGAGAACGTCTATAGTAAAGCCTATAAACCTTAACCCCAAATTTTAGAAACCCTAATCCTAAGCCCTTAAGACCCTACAGTAGACCTATAGAGACCCCCCCCCCCCCCGAGCCTCGAAGCCCCCAACCTCTGCAGCCCCTTAAGGCACCAACCGCTCCCTCATGTCCCTCTCGGGGCTGAGCAGCTTGGTCCGGGGCCCTGGGCTCTCCTTGTAGGGTTTGTTATCGTGAAGGTTGTCTGGCTTATAGGGTTTCGGACAAAACAGTTTAGGGGTTTAGAGCTTAGGGCTTATGGGGTTGAAGTAGGGTCTTCATAGTTGAGTTTACGAAGGCTTACAGTTTATGAGGTTTAGCACGTCGTGTGCGCAATCATCCAGAAGCTCTGAGCCCCAGCCCCAGACCCCAACAGCCCAAAAGCCCCAAAGCCTCACCCAAAAACCCACCACGACCCTAAAGCCGAAACCCAGACAACTCTACCGCCCCCCCCCCCCCCCCCCCCCGAAAAAAAAAGTATAAGTATAAATAATCATGGATGTGTGTATATGCCCCCGCAACCCAAAAACGACCCGAAGAAAACTACCCAGGCGACGTCGAGCTCCGGCACAGCTTATGTGGGGAAGCCCAGGGTCCCCCCCCCCAAACCCTAAACCCTAGACCCTAGACCCTAGACCCTAGACCCTAGACCCTAAACCCTGAACCTAAACCCTAAACCCTAAACCGGCACGCTCTGCTTGGAGTGAGAGGGGCTCTTTCCTTGTTCAGGGTGTAAGGCTATGCGGGGCCAGACGGGGTCCATGGTTTTAGAGTTCCTTTACTCTCCCTACACAGGAAAACCCTGTAAATACCTGCAATTCCTCATGAGTTACTGCCCCTGCAAAACCAACAAAATTATGTCATTCAGAAACATCCTCCTTCTGGAGTGCAACCGTGCACGAACAGTGACCACATGCATGTTCTTAGTTTTTCTCAAGGGGTTTTCTTTTTTTGCTTCCACCTTTTAGCCTCCTTCATTTTCTACTTTAGGCAGTAAGCGCTGGACCGAAATTATGTGTGTGTGTGCTCCAGACCTGATGCCCACTTTTTGCACCAGAAAGAGCCGGATATGGCGTAAGATGTACAGACGTCGACGCCAACCTCCCATCCAGGCCCATCTAGCGGTACCATCGAGAGTCTTCGAAGGCAGTTACAGGAGAGTATGCCACCAAAAAGTGTTGACCGAAACGTTTGACCAACAGTTTTGACCCGAGTTTGTTTTTCGGATCCGTTTGTCCGCTCATGCTCCCGGAGGACAGCGAGGTTCGGGAAGCTGTAGATCCACTCGCGCCCGAGCAGATGAGGTTTTTGCCAGATAACTGCCACATTTGTAGCTGTCAAAGCTTGGTTGTCACCAGTTTGGGTGGTGGGGGCTATGACGGTGACGTCATTTTCATCTCAACAGATCCTGCTCTCGCGCGGCTCGTGGCCAACTCTCCAGACGGGCGCGAGCTGCCGCACGCTTCGCAAAGGAAACCTTGCTCGAAAGGACCTGGTGGTGCGCAGCACATAGAGTATCTCAACTACTGCCGCCGAGTGGATACTCCCTCAAGCCGTGGGACACATGCGTTCTTGCAGAACGAGCCCAGATGGCTGCCTGGGTGGCGAGATACCCTGCGAAGAGGACTGACTTTGAGCTTGCTCTTCTTGTCTGCAATGATATGGCAACAAGAGAGAGCAACTTGACCTTGTGATGTCGGGAAATCAATTTGAGGATTCTTTTGATTTCACGTTCCCGTGCAACAGTGATCAAGGTTTCTTCGGGATGCTGGGGCCGGCGTGGCGAATAATTGTAGACGATTCGTTTAATCTAGTAGTGTTCGCAGCCCAGTCACCTCGGGGTCTAAGGTGTTTTTGTTTCGTGGTCGCTACCACGGCAACGATAGGCCGAGCCGAGCAGAAGCGAAACCTGGACCCTAGACATCTGTCTTAGTCTTAGTTTGTCTCTAACACCATCCCTGCAGACGTAGGATGCAGCGCACGTTCGAGCTCGGCAGTGTTTCACTTACGACGTTTCCAAAATATTGCCGAGGCCGTGGACAGTTTTTCTTGCGGACAGTCGGCGCAGATTTGTTGGAGGGGGGTGAGGGGGCCGTGTGTGGCAGTGTCGCATCTTGCCAGACAAGTCCTGAGCGCGGCAGGGCTGAGTCGAGCAGACAAGCGCTTCTCGTTTCACATCAAGGAAAAGGTCCTTGCCCCTAAGTTGAGCGTGGATCGTCAGCGACCGTGGGCTGGACGCCGGCTTCTGCCACGATCCACGCCACTTGGTGAACTTTTTCTGCCTTATGTTGAAGATGAGCAGGAAAGCGGATGCTCATTAAAGTCATTAAAGGTGAATTGCTCAAAGGCCGCGACCTGCGCACCGCGTCTTGCACTCCAGGCAGGCGCTCCGTCAGCAGAGATGTCAGTCGCCTGCTGTCTCACCGTCTCCTGCGACTTTGGGAGTGTGCTACTGGCAAGAACATTGGGCTTCTCGAGAGCGCTTCCCTAAGCCCCCTAAGCCCATTATAGCACTAGTATAGTAGTAGTAGTAGTAGTAGTAGTAGTAGTAGTAGTAGTAGTAGTAGTAGTAGTAGTAGTAGTAGTAGTAGTCGTCGTCGTCGTCGTCGTCGTAGTAGTAGTAGTAGTAGTAGTAGTAGTAGTAGTAGCCCTGTACGACATACTGCACACCATTCTGAGTTCAGGGACATCTGCTTCAAAAGATCGCGCGTGGGTGCAGATTGGGCCATGTGAGACGAGACAGTCGATGATGCCTGCTGCGTGTACAATTGGTCCATACAGTGGTGGAAGCGTTCTTTCAGGCAGCAATCTCTATCCCGCAGTCTATTTTTCAGGGTCGGATTCTTTTCGCTAAGGCAACAGCGTGTTATTGCCAGGCTACGTAGGTTAGGGGGCTCGGCAGCTCCCCGTGAACCCTGAGCCCTAAACCCTATAAACCCAAAACTCTACAAACACATCGGGCCCGTCAAGACCCTGAGCCTGGACCCTAAACCTCGCCCTGCCGACCGGTTCAGTATGTTGATAATATGGGGGGTCGGAATAATAACGAGCAATATTCCCTTAGGGTCTCTTTATAAGTATACTATGATAGCCCCCCTATCCTGATTGTTGTTCAGGGCCCTACATTATGTTGATGGTTCAGGGCTCTTAGGTTGAGACCCGAAGCTCAGGCTGGTTTTGGACGCTCAACCCCACACCCTACACACTACACCCTATAATCCCTACTTGCAAACCCTATAAACGTACAAACCCCACAAGCCCTAACCCGGCTCCTTCAGGCCCTGGGCACGGCCATGGAGGCAAGCTTCACGACCTTCGCCGGGGGCCCGAGACCGCAGCAAGCCTGACAGTTCGCAGGGTTGAATCTTCTGCGCAGGGGCTGGGTAAGCCTAAACCCTAAACCCTAAGCCTGGGGGACTGTCCTGGAGTTCGGCAGGAAGCGGCTTTCGGTTTTCGAGGTCTGCGCCGGCAGAGGGGTTTTGCGCTTCAGCGGCATGAGTTGGAGGGATGAGAGGCTGCAGGCTCTTTAGCAGGTGGCCTTGCACGAGTACAGCTGCCCCTTGTGGCATACCTGAACAACCCCACAAAACCTATCGGTTCTTCACTATAGAGCCCCTGACGGAAGCTCATCAGGCCCTTCTTTAATTAAACACGAGGCTCATAGGGCTCAGGAACCGAAGATCGAGTCGTAAGCCGTTGCAAGGTCGTCTGTTGGCTTGCCACGGAGTCTGCGGCGGGCATTGACTTTGGCACGCCTGGGTCCCAATTTTTTCCACCCTCAGGCTTAAACCTTCAGTTCAACCCCATGAACCCTAGTGATGATTGCAGCTTTACCGTAGGATGGCGCAGTGACCTTCATGACGACCTGATTCCATTTTGGAAGCATTTTCAAGCTACTACTAGAATTGCTGATCCTCGTACTTTCATGTCTCGTCTTGCTGCCATTGTTGTGCCGCACTGGCCTCTGCTCTGCTACAGTTGCTGGAGGCATACAGCTTGTGCTTGAGAACATGCAGCCCGCCATGCGTTGGCATTCACAGAAGCTCCTGTTGCATTCGTAGGCTACTCAAGAACCCCACAAGGTGGGGGCATGACCGTAACCCGGTTTGTGCGCTTTCTTCAACCCCTCCCCGAGGCTGTCGGTCTTCGGACCTGCGCGGAATCCCAGCGTTCAGGGCCGGGAACAGAAGGTGGGTTTAGGGTGTTAGGGTTTAGGACTTAGGGTTTAGGGTTTACGGTTTAGGGTTCGGGTTGCCGATGCCTTCAGTTGGGGTAATCTAGGGGTTTCCCGACAAGGGTAAACCCTTTTTGGGGTTCCTTTTGGATGGGTTATGGAAGGATACCCCACCGATTTCGGAAGTCCCCATCTGCCCCACTGGACAATGTGCGGGACTGTTGGAGGTGTATGGGGCTTTACAGGGCCTCATGAAAGCTCGAAACTGCAACACCCTAAACCCAAAACCCCAAACCGTAAACCCCCGAAGCCACAAAAAAATGCATAAGACTAACAGTATTTGGCCCGGGATGCCAGGGCTTCTATTGCCAACGAGTTATTTGGGTTTCCAGGGTTTAAGGGTTTAGGGTGCAGGGCGTAGGGTCTCTAATATGCAGGGCGGGAGGCCCAGGAGTTCGGTTGAAGGTTAAGGGGAGTTGGCTTATTGCATCTTAGCAGGGAATGAGGGAATGAGGGAGACCTTGCTATCTCCCTGTTAACCCTAAGCCCTTAACCCTAAAACCCTAAACCCTAAACCCTAAAAGCCTAAACCCTAAACCCTAAAACCCTAAAACCCTAAAACCCTAAAACCCTAAAACCCTAAAACCCTAAAACCCTAAAACCCTAAAACCCTAAAACCCTAAAACCCTAAAACCCTAAACCCTAAAACGATTCCGATGGTGCCGAGCCCTTCATTCCCTTAGTTTGGGGCTCTCCTGCCTAAACCACCTGCTGCCTCGCGATCGCGCCATCTCCCAAGTCCTTCTACAGCTCAAGGCCATCCGCCTAGAGCCTTTGAACTCTGCACCCTAAACCCTCAACCCTAAACCCTAAACCCTAAACCCCATGGCCTCAGGTGGAGGGGACTCAGGGGACTCATGTGACCTGCCGCCTGAATGAGACCTGCAGCATTACCCTGGACTCGATGGTCGGGCCTGGGCCTCATAGTTTCGTGGAGCCACGCGGGACCTCATGGCCCAATAAACCCGGGTTTAGGGTTTAGGGTTTAGGGTTTAGGGTTTAGGGTTTAGGGTTTAGGGTTTAGGGTTTAGGGTTTAGGGCTAGGGTACTATAAAGCCCGAAACGGTCCTCAAACCCTAAACCCTTCCCCAACTCTCAACCCCAAACTCTCACCGGGAGGTGGAGGATTTTGGTGTATTTCCATACAGGGAATTACAGAGACCTTATAAGGTGACCACTGGCGCGCCCATCCCAGGAGAGCGCTTGCACATGCCAGTTGTGCTTCAGGGTTGGCAGTGGGGTCAATGTCCGACCCTAAACCCTACAAGCCCTACATCCCCAAACCCTAAACCCTGTAGGGCTTGGGGTTAGTTGTGGGAAGGCTTCGGTTGTGGGAAGATTAGGGTTTGCAGTTATGGATGCAGTAAACTTGGTGGTTCAAGGTTAAGGGCTGCAGCCCGAAAAAGTTCTCCTCGTGCCCTGAATCGACGGCCTGAGGTTCGACCCTATACACCCGACAAGCCCTATATCCACACAAATGTCCACGGTTTTGGGTTTAGGGCTGTCCACCCCTCATTGCAACTTTCAACCCTTATCCCCAAACCCTAAACCCTAAACCCTAAACCCTTTTGGGGCCTTCCAGGTCCCTTGGTGACGGCTTCGACCAGCAAAGTTACCTGCAGCTGGAGAAGGGCGGGTCCTGCGCGGGTCTCAGGGCTTGGGGTCTAGGGTTTAGGGAGGTGTTTCATGCGCCCTGCAAGGGTTTAGGGCTTATGGAGGGTTTAGAGAGGGTTTAGAGAGGGTTTATAGGGGGTTTAAAGGGTTTAATGAGGGAGTTCGGGTCTTCGTTGCGATGTTGCGAAACCGTCACGTCCGCCAGCCAGAAATCTTAAAAAACCCTCAGCCGGCTAGACTCTCGATCCCCCCTGAAGAAATCGGAGCTAGGCCCTGAACCCTGGTTCTCACAACCAAAGCCCTAACCCCAAACCCTAAACCCTAAACCCTAAACCCTCAACAGCCTAAACACCCTAAACCCTGAACCCCTGCGTGGCTCAGGCTCCGGCTCCCCGGCAACCGTGTGGGGAAACCTCACGAACCCGGCCAGGGCCCAACATAGCCGGGTTTTGAGGGTTTGGGGTTTAGGGTTTAGGGTTTAGAAGGGATGAATCTACACCGAATATGACCCTTCTCCTACGTACCTTAAGGATCTTGAAAAAGGTTCCCAAAACCCAAGGGTACAACCTTAAGGGTCCATGGTACAATCCTCAAACGTTTCAGGTGTCACGTTTACCTTATGAATCTTGGCTGCCCAGTGGACCTCTTTTCCCTTGTTTTGGTTCAAGGTTCCCTTATAAAGTAGCCAACCCAAAACAGGGTGCCCTTATGATGCGATGGTTACTGGGCTACCAAGCTTAAGACCCCGAGCCTACATTTCTACGTGTGAGCTTTTTTCAGCATCCTATGAGGGCTTCCATCACAACTCACAACCTAGGAAGAAGTCGATTTTAAGGTTTCTCAAACGTTCGAGCGGAGAATGCTCTGAATCCCGCAAACCCTAAACCCTAAACCCTAAACCCTAAACCCTAAACCCTAAACCCTAAACCCTAAACCGGTTTCCCGGAGGTGCCCCAGTCTCCGCTGGAGAACGCCACCTCACTGACCTTCGACCTCCTGGTACCCTCGGCCCAGGAGACCCCAGGGCCGAGACGGGCCGAGCTTTCGGTGTGGTTTTTTGTAGGGTTCTGGCTCCAATAGGGGTATTTCGAAAAACCAGGGGCACCCCTTTCATTTCCCAACCCCCCCCCCCCCAAAGCCCCCCCAAAAGGGTACCCCTGTTTTCGGAAACCCCCTATACAGGGCCTGGGGGGCTAGGGCCTAAGGCTCTACACGGGCAATTATAATTCCAGCGGATGAGTATTTTCACATGAAAGGGATGGGCTTTCCTTTAGACTGGAAAATTGGAGCGAATGCGTTCAAGCCTGTTGTGCTTGGGGCCTAAACCCTAAACCCTAAACCCTAAACCCTAAACCCTAAACCCCAAACCCTAAACCCTAAACCCTAAACCCTGAACCCTGAACCCTGAACCCTGAACCCTGAACCCTTCTACCGCTGGCAGGAGGTGGCCGAGACCGACCTTGCAGCGGACTTAAGGGACATGTTTTTTGTTGCATATTGCGAATTTCTCTGCGTGATGGTCCCTGTCCGGAGACTTCCTATAAATTCCATAGGAATAGAAGGCGCTAGAATCTGCTAGAACTCTGAGAGCTGGGGGTTTGTAGCCGTAGGTTTCCGTGTTTTCTGGGGGTCCGAGATGGTTTTGGGAGCTTCCGCGGGCGCTCGGATCTCCGGGCTTCGGGAGCTCTGGTGGGTGTGTGGTTCCCCTTTGCTGATGCTGCTTTTTTTTTTGCTTTTTTTCAGGGGGAAGTATCGAACTTCACCACTCCGATCATTTGAATCTTCACCGCAAGAGGCCACGAAAAGTTTCTGGGCTTGCTCTGGGCATGGCCCTCGGCGGCCTTGGGTCCTTGCATTTCAGGTGGTGGGCAACTACTCCCTCTGCTTGTCGCTGAACGGCACTGGTCCCTTCTCCATGGCCGTAGGCCGGAGGGCGAATCCCGAAAAATACGACAGAAACAGGCTGTTGCACAGACTTGTTCCAGTGATCTAAAGGCTATCAACCCTAAACCTAAACTGCTTTGAACCCCCCCCCCCCCCCCCGCCAACTGGCCGACCTCCTGCTAAACAGACCAGCCCACATCTTGAACCCACAATGCCCCTGACACCTAAACCCCAATACAGGAGCCCGACATCATCCCCTAATCCCGTGAAACGCAAACGAGACGCTCCAGAAGAGTAGGCCCCTCTTATCGTACACTCAAAACCTGTGAACCCTCACAAACTTTCAGCACCGAGGCTGCCGCACTTCTGAGAACCTTGAATGGTCACTTCCTCCGGATTCTGGCCCTTTTGGGGAGCCCCTGTTACTTTCCAGCCTCCGATGTCCCTCGCAACCCTGAGGCCCATCTCCGACGCAAACTTCCCTAAACCCGTGGCAGGATCCCTGATTGTGGAGGATGTGCCGGGGCCTTGAGAAGAGCGCCCCTGGTGGGGTTAAAGAAGTGAACCTTAGCCTTCAACTTTAATCCTTACACGCAGCAAACCCAAGACCCTTTGGGAGTCTGGGTTTCGGGTTTAGGGTTTAGGGTTTAGGGTTTAGGGTTTAGGGTTCGGGTTTAGGGTTTGGGTATCTAGCGGCATTAAGGGGCACTTGGGATATTTCGGGCCTCAATGGGCTGGCAGCATCTCTCGGAGCTCAAAAACTCCACGCAAACCCACACCTTGGGTTTAGGGTTTTGGGTTTAGGGTTTAGGGTTTAGGGCTTAGGGCTTAGGGCTTAGGGTTTAGGGTTTAGGGTTTAGGGTTTAGGGTTTAGGACCCTAACCCCAACAAATTAGATGATACCCTCATCTGAAACCCTAGGCCCCAAACCCTAAGCATGGAAGAGAAAGGTCACGAATGAGCTGGATACAACCCCTACCTAAACCCTAAACCCTAAACCCCAAACCCTAAACCCTGAACCCTAAACCATGTCAGCATCGAGGCCGTGCGAAGTGCCCAGCGACATCCTCGACACTTTGGAGCCTGCCTGCCTGCCTTGGGCTAAAGCCCTTTTTCTGGCTGGTTCTTAGTAGGGCATGAGGGAATGAGGTACCCCATAGAATCCCTTAACGGCTGAAATTAAGGGTATTTATGGGCCCTATAATTCCCGCAGTCCCTACTGAAGCCTTTTTCGGTCATACGGGTCTCTAGATTTCATCTTTACCTGGCACGGGTTTCCAGTTACTTCGTTCACCCTACTGCCTCAAGAAAGGCTTTTTGCCTGCATTTGCAAGAAGAAAAGATTTGGCACCATCTTAATTAGTTAATGCCTTGAGAGAAGTTTTCCGGCTAACGCCTGTTGAAGCATCTTCCACCACGCAGTACACACGCAGAAAGTCGACTGGCCCTAAGCCCGAAACCCCAAACCCCAAACCCGAAACCCTAAACTTCAAAAAATTTAAAAAACGGCACCCTTAGAGCAAGGAGGGTTTCGGCTTTGGGGTTTAGGGTTAGGAACCCAGAAAGGAGGGACCTTAATTTAGAGAGCGACCCTGATGATGTCTTACCGGCTTTATATAAGGGCTTCTGAGGTTTAGGATCTGGGGTATGGGTCTCACGGTTCTTCTTGGGAGTTTAGGGTTTTAGGGCTTCGGAGTTTTGGGACCACGCCCCGCGCCCTCCTCTCTCGTTTGACATCCCTGTAAGTCCTAAACCCTACGAGCTGCGCGCCACAATTCAATTCGACAGGTGGTAGTTGAAACAAGCGTCCGCCGTGACGAAGTGACAGGAAGAGCTTGCCATCACATAGTCCTCACATGCTGATCGCAGAGCGAGGGTGTGCCACGAACTCATTCGTTCAGGTAATCGGAGCTTCCTGAAGAAGACGGACGTAAAACGAGGGATCCACAAGGGAGTCCGCGCCAACGGCGACCTGAGATACCACAATCGGCTCATTTGACATCCCTGCCAGAAGCCTGTGAACTCGGAATGGTGCCCCTGCAGAGGCACAAAACCCCTTATTCCTGGTCATCATCCTGGCTTTGGTGCGGACATCGTTGCGTCGTCTTTCGGAATAACGAGGGGCAACGATGGCCGGAAGCTCACGTCGCGCACTGGAAGCGAGTGCTGCGGAATGATGTCTCCACTGGGTGTCCTCTAAAGGAAGATCCTGTGCACAGCCATTAAGGTGCAACCATCCCGCCCTACCCCATGTCCTTACTGTGGGCTTGGGGGGGCAGGTTGGGAGTGGGCATATCGTCCGCGCCTTTTGCTTCCTCGGGTTCTGCCGTCCGTGGCTCAAGGGCGTAAGCGCGAGACGGCATCACGTCACAAAGCTCTGCGCTGCCTTGTCAGGCGCCTCTGCCTTTTTTGTGGTCTGACTGCGAATTGGTGCGCAAGCCTGCCTCCAGCCAGAAGGGATGAACATGGATGGGCTGTGCATTGTTTCTTGCGTGCGCGTGGCATGCTGCTGGACAGGGACTTGGTCAAACCAGCGGTGGCGGCACCGAAGCAAGCTGGCACCGATTGCAAGACCGACACGCGGCGCAGATGAAATGAAGCAATGAGGTAGCCAAGGTTGTTTTTGTTGCAGGAAGATGGGGTTCAAGGCTGAAGTCGTCAGTGGAGGTCCTTAGAGCTGTGTCGAGCACGGGCGCGCTTGCGTTTGGGTGATGCTGGAAGCTTGGCTAACTCTGGGAGGAAAGCAGATCTCAGGACCGAAACGGGCCCAGAATCGGGCGGCCAGCAGGAGATTCTGTGCGCAGCCCTTGAGGTGCACGCATCCCGCCTTACCCCATGCCCTTACTCTGGGCCCGCGCGTAACTCTAGCCCCTACACCGCAACCCTAAACCCTCCCTGAGTTGGGTCATTGTTGACAATCATTTTGCATCTTTTTGAATACTTACAAAAGGAGCAAAACTGATCATGTTTAAGTATGTTTGAAGGTACCCCAACAGTGGTGAAGTGAACGTGAACAGCAACCACACTAGCATGATTCTAATAGTATTCCTTTATGGTCCCTTCATAACTATACCATAAAACCCCCCAAACCCCTACTGTAGTTATAAAGGCCCTTATATGAGCACGATTCCACACCATGGAGCGACCCCAAGGTCTTCGGACAGCGGGCTTCCAGCCGCGGCTTCAGAGGAGTTTTGCCTCGTTGCGTTGGAAGGCGTTCAATATAGGGGCCTGAATTATTAGAACAGGGTTTTGAGGGTTTATTATCGTATATTTGCAAAAGGGCCAGAAGGGAACATGATAAGTAATTCTTCCGACCCCTATATTAGGGCTTTAAGGTGTTTAGGGCGTTGAGGGCTTTAGGGTGTTTGGCGTTACTCACATGAACTACGAAGCTTTATGAGGCCTTCGTACAGGGTTCAGCTGGTGCATTCAGCCGCAGTGGCGGTTGCTTAGCCCACAAAAAGGGTGTTTATTGAGCTGCAGCCCGCAGATGTTTGTCATCTTGAAAAAAGTCCGCAGGCCCAACCCCTAAACCTTGAAGACGTGACATCCTTTAGACACTTCATTAAGCAACAGATCCCCAGGTCTCCAGCCTGCGGCACGCCGAGGGTTGCCTACCCCGCTGCAACTCCGAGTCCATCGCACTGCCGGGGTTCTCGGGAGTTGGGGCGTTGAGTTCAGGGTTCAGGGTTTGGGGTTTATAGGGACTCAGGGGTTTGGAGACTCCGGACTTAGGGTTAGGGGGGTTTGGGCGATTTTGAGGGCTTTCAGGCTCTGAGGGTTTATGTAAAGGCTTCAGAGCTTCAGAATCGAGGGTGAGAGGAAAGTCGCAATAAGTGGTGTTTTGTTTAAGGATGGTTTTTTCCGGGGGGGGGGGGGGCGGGGGTCTTGCAGCTCTCTGAAGTGTTTAGGATCTTGCTTCGAGTGTTTTAGGACTTGGCAGCTGTGAACTTCAATCGTTTAGGCCCTAAACCCTATAACACTAGATGCCACGAGACACCCTAAAAACCCTAAAACCCCAAAGCCCTGAAGCCCTCAACCCTAAATCCTAAAAGCCTAAAACCTTAACTTTAGAAGCCCTGCAGGGGATTTGCTGCCACCCTTACAGGCCTTTGTGCCTGGCAGACATGGGAATTTTGGTCTTTAGACCAAACAGCCGCGAGCCTCAAACCCGAATGCCCATTCGCAGAACTCCCTGAAAAACCGAGAGCGTGCCAAAAGCCCACCCAACGGACAAAACACCCAACTACAAGCCCTAACTCCTCCGCACTAGAAGCCAGCCTCATAAGGCCCCGAGAAGCCCGAGAAGCCCCAGCTCAGAAGCCTAAGTCCTGGCTCGTTGGAGATGAGTCCTGCCCTCATATTGCGTTAATGTTTGCATCCAAACCTATACTCTTACTTAGCCAATAGTTGTACCTGAAGCTTTTTTTTTGGTTTCCCTATCAAGAAGTTTAACTTGGAGGATACTCGTTCGACAAAGAAACCCCACTGCACGCGTGGATCCTGAGGCCCCCGGGCCCCCTTCAACCCCACCCAGCAGCTTAAGCCCTAAGCCCTAAGCCCTAAGCCCTAAACCCTGAACCCTAAACCCTAAACCCTAAACCCTAAACCCTAAACCCTAAACCCTAAACCCTAAACCCTAAACCTTGAATAATCCATATAATGCTTAACATATCTTTTGGGTTTTCATGGAAAATCATATATGGGTTGGGGTCTGGGAAGGGTCATGTTTGGTCTTGAGGCGTCCGAAGTCGGGATTGGTCTTAAAAATATGGTCTCGGCTTGCGTTTACGAAGCAAACCTAGTAGAAAAACACATCTGGGTTGGGGCCTGGGGAGGGTCATGTTTGGTCTTGAGGCGTCCGAAGTCGGGATTGGTCTTTAAAAATATGGTCTCGGCTTGCGTTTTGCGAAGCAAACCTAGTAGAAAAAACACATCTGGGTTGGGGCCTGGGGAGGGTCATGTTTGGTCTTGAGGCATCGTAAGTCGGGATTGGTCGTAAGAAACATGGCCTCGGCTGGCGCTGAGGAAGTCAGTGTCATATACAAAAAATAGTGGGTCGCGCTATTGTGCAACCAGGTGTAGCCTAGCTCCTTCTAGAGCGACAAAAACTTCTGGACACGTCCATGAAGCGTCGATCACGGGTAGAAGTTTTCATCGGAGTTGAAAAAAATCATGGAAGAACGCAGTGCCCCTGAAGCAAGATCCATGCGCCGTAGGATTGAAAACACCCTCCTCAACTTTTCCGAAACAACAGGCGGCCCCTTGCCCACCCCCCCCCCCCCCCAACCCCCCATCCCCTTTTTTGGGTGCGGCCCACCCCCCCCCCCCCCCCCCCCCCCCCCCCCCCCCCGCCCCCCCCCGCCCCCCCCCCCCGCCCCCCCCCCCCCGCCCGCCCCCCCCCCCCCCCCCCCCCCCACCCCCCACCCCCCAACCCCCGACGGGCGACCGCGCTGGCCCCTGCTTGGGGTGCCCGCCCCACCCGCTTCTAGGAGTGGGGGGCGGTGGGGGTGGGGGGGGGGGGGGGGGGGGGTTGGAGCGGGGAGGTCCAGTCCAGCCCCTCCACCCCCTCCAGCCCCTCCAGCCCCTCCAGCCCCCCTCCAGCCGCCCGGGCCGCGGGGCTGGAGCTGGAGGCTGGAGGGGGCTGCAGGGGGCTGCAGGGGGCTGGAGGGGGCTGGAGGGGCTGGAGGGAGAGTCAGATGCGAGTAGCATCGTTACGTCAAGCAGTTTTGTCCGCCAGACTGGCCTCCATCGAGAACAAAACAGGAAGCAGTTTCGATAACAATCTTCACGAGGCTTGAGTAAGCCCAATATTTCTAGGAGCAAGTCCAAGATTTCTCAGGATTCATGACAAGGTCAAGCCCCGAAACTTGCAGGGCGGATCCTGGTTTTCAGCGATCTGAACCAAGTTTTTAATGTAATAAACCGCAGACAAATCCCAGATTTCAGATGAGTAGATCCAAGATTCTACTTAGACAGAACCCAGATTTCCGGCCACAAGACCGCAGACAGAACCCAGATTTCCGGCCACAAGACCGCAGAGAGAACCCAGATTTCCGGCCACAAGACCTGAGAAAAAACCCGCCTGACGACACCGACTTTTGGGGATATGTTAAGCATTATATGGATTATTCAACCTAAACCCTAAACCCTAAACCCTAAACCCTAAACCCTAAACCCTAAACCCTAAACCCTAAACCCTAAACCCTAAACCTCAACTCCTCTTGGAGCATGCTTCTGAGGGTGGCCTCGCTTCAGTGTGTTTACGGTGAGCTGCAGCCACCCCGTGGCGCGGCAAGGTTTTGAAGGAAGGGAATTTGGGTTTTGGGTTTTGGGTTTAGGGTTTAGGGTTTGGGGTTTGGGGTTGCAAGGCTTCGTATAGGAGATCATACAGGAGTTTCGTGGGCGCAGGGGTTGGGGATGCGGGGCACAGAGGACCTCGAGGCCGCGGGTCAACAAGTCCTTAGCGGCTTAACCTTTGGGCAGAAGCAGAGCTGAACCCCAAAACCCGAAACCCTGATCGTCCGGACATACTGTGTAGGACAACAAGCGTGAACTGCCCTAAACCCTAAACCCTAAACCCTAAACCCTAAACCCTAAACCAGGTTCCTGCCACCTGGCTTCGGGGCCATTTTGGGGGGCGCTACTTCGGAACAGGTTGTAGCTCCTTTGCGGGCCCCCCCACTTCTGTTCTGCAATCCAAAAGCCTCTGTTTCGGCAATTTAGGGTTTAGGGTTTAGGGTTTAGGGTTTAGGGTTTAGGGTTTAGGGTGAAGCCTGGGGAGCTGCTGAGGCTGGCAGTGCTGGAAGCCGGTCACCCAGGGGTGTGGGCTTTAAGCTGTTTGGGGGTTAGTTTAGGGTTTAGGGTTTAGGGTTTAGGGTTTAGGGTTTAGGGTTTAGGGTTTAGGGTTTAGGGTTTAGGGTTTAGGGTGAGGGTCCTTTCCGAGTCAGCATCCAGGAGGCAGAAGGGGCAGGCCCAAAGTGATGTTCATGCCCACACTTGCAAGCTCATCTTTCTTGCATCCGGAAAGAAATTCTGTTTACCTACAGGTCAACCGTCTAAACCCTAAACCCTAAACCCTAAACCCTAAACCCTAAACCCTAAACCCCCAACCCCCTAAACCCTAAACCTTAAACCTTAAACCCTTAAACCTTAAACCCTAAACCCTAAACCCTAAACCCTAAACCCTAAACCCAAATCCGTAGCCAAACCCCTACAGTAAGGAGGGCCCCAGGCAACCCTGAGCCGACTGCAGGTCGTGCCTGCAGGTGCCGTCAGTCAACAATGGCCTTGGCGCTAGCCTCGGACAGGTGAAGCCCTAAACCCTAAACCCTAATCCCTAAACCCTAAGCCCTAAACCCTAAACCCTAAACCCTAAACCCTTAGATGAAGAGGATTTTCATCAGACTATGTTTAGCCGCGTAGTCGGCTCAGGGGTTCAGCTGTCGAGCTCCGCACGGCTCCTTGAGTTCCTAAGCTCCTGCAGCCTAGGGTTTAGGGTTTAGGGTTTAGGGTTTAGGGTTTAGGGTTTAGGGTTTAGGTTTAGGGTTTAGGGTTTAGGGTTTAGGGTTTAGGGTTTAGGGTTTAGGTTTTAGGGTTTAGGGTTTAGGGTTTATGGTTTAGGACGTCGAGTCAGCTCTCTAACGTTTGGCTCCTTCCGGCTCTCTCTGCCATCATGCAGCCGTGATGTCGAGGTCAGGAAAGCTGCCAGGGCCTTCAGCACGGGAGCCAGTGTGATCTCAACTGCCCGGCCGGTTCCCCAGGGAGGGAAGGGGGTAGTTCTCTAAAGTATAGGGTCCCTTTTTGGGGTCTCCTATATGGTGAGGCACACGGTAAGCCCTCAAGCCCCCTTGAACCCTTAAACTGTAGAAATGCAGGGGTCAGGGGTTTAGGGTTGAAGCTTCGGCACTGATCCGTCTCCATGACGCAGACCCCTCCACCAGAGTCTGTCATTTTGTGACCTTCCAAGGGCTCAGGAGGTGCAGGTATTTCTCAAAGCTTCACAATGGACAAGGTCCACAGGGTTTAGGGTTTAGGGAGGAAAGTGAGGCGCTGGAGCTCGGACCAGCCTGGCGAAACCTTGTGATTCATAAGGCACGAACTCGAAGATGCAAAACAGAAGCTGCGCAGCTGCTTGTCTAAGCTATGGTCCTTTTTAAAAGACAAGGGCTCCATGCTTTAAAGTTCTAGGCACCTGAAAGTTCTAGGCACCTGACGCAGAATGCCGAAATCCTATGTCACGTATCCACAGGCCGGCACACTGGCAAGTGGCTACTTCCTCTGTGAGCATGGCATCTTCTACCACCAGGTGACGTCAGGGATCTTGGGTTTAGGGCTTAGGGTTTCAAAGGTCTGCTGGTGCTGTCTTAACACGGTTGCTTGAGAACCCCTCCCCCCCAACAAAATTCAGCATGTATTTCCTTGTAAGAGAGATAAGGGGATCATTATCCTTCATCTTGTGGGGGGGGGTTCTAAAGCAAAGAGTAAAGCATGTGCTAGCCAGTTCGATTCACAGGTGTGGCTCTGTAGGAAGATTGGGGGACTGCCTCCCCCTCTTAAAGCATTATGCCCAAGAGGCTTGGTAGCCCAGTGGTACCCTTTACCCTTTTTTTGAGTTCTGGGTTCCCTTATAAAGTAACCAACCAAAAAAAGGGTGCCCTTGTTATAATATGGTTACTGGGCGACTAAGGAGGGCTTGAAAAGGCGTGGATGTTGATCGTGTGGAGAGGAGGCGCTTATCTTCACCTTGCGTGGTCGAAGGTCGTGGAGGATGCCTGGTGTCCCCATGGATTAAAGGTTTTGGGTTATCCTGAAGACATGCGTGCCAGATTTGACTTGAGAGGTCAGCAACTGCCTCTCGCACGACTGTCCCTTTCTCTTACTGCTGGAGAGTCGCAATGTGAAAGAACGGTAGGAGTTGAACAGATTCATGTTTCAGACCCTAAGCCCTAAACCCTAAACCCTAAACCCTAAACCCTAAACCCTAAACCCTAAACCCTAAACCCTAAACAGAGCTTGCAGCTGCTGACCCAACCGACTCCGAATTGCTGAAGGGAGAGCCCTAAGCCCTGAGCATCATCGCACGCCCGCGGGCCGACAGTGAGAACACTCCTCCCCCTCCCCTCCCCCCCCCCTGAACCGGTACCAAACCCCAAACCCCACACCCCAAACCCCAAACCCTAAACCCGAAACCCGAAACCCGAAACCCGAAACCCTAAACCCTAAACCCTAAACCCTAAACCCACCCAAAAGTTCAGTGCAGGCCCTCCTCCCCATGGAGCTGCTGAGAAGTGCCGGTTCTCCTGGAATTTTGTTGGGCCTGGGGTTTGGTGAGTGAGGGGTCAGGGTTTAGGGTTTAGGGTTTAGGGTTGGCATGTTCCCCCCTTGTATAACAGTCCTTTATAGTGATTTAAATACGGGGTACTATTCAGGACTGTTAGTATAAGGGGTAAGGTTAACATATTCCGCGGCCTGGGTGTTGTGTACTTTAGGCTGGTTCGGGGCAGTAGGGTTAAGGGTTTAGGGTTTAGGGTTTAGGGTTTAGGGTTTAGGGTTTAGGGAGATTCTGTCTTGGAGGTGAGTTTGTTTGGGGCTTCAAGGGAAAGAACTTGGGATTTTCGGAAGGGTCTGAGAAGCCTGGACCCCAAATCACCTTTGACCCTCAGTCACCCTAAACCCTAAACCCTAAACCCTAAACCCTAAACCCTAAACCCTAAACCCCACGCTGGAGTCCTTGAGGTGCCTCGCTGCTACGAGGGCTGTGATGCAAGTGCTGTGTGTGGCGCGGGCGCCTCAGACTTTCCTCCGCCGCAGCAGATAGGGTTTAGGGTTTAGGGTTTAGGGTTTAGGGTTTAGGGTTTAGGGTTTAGGGTTTAGGGTTTAGGGTTTAGGGTTTAGGGTTTAGGGGACCTGCTCGGGATGGTTGGGAATAGGGATGTTTCCCCGTACGCGAACAGTCCTCTAGGGATTATAATAGGGGTACGATAATCCCCATGAAGGACTGTTAGCATAAGGGGGAACATCCTAAGTTGAGAATGTTTGTGGCAGATGATTTCATTGTGTGCAGCGGTTTTGATGCTGGAAGTTGCGCCGTCGTTTCTGAGTTGTTGGGTGTGGTTGCATGTCGAACGCGAATGGCGCAAAACCCTGTGAACGCTGCAGTACAGCTATGCTACAAGATTTTGTTCTATGTCACAATGTAATTACAACACAAAAGGTGCCCCCGCGGTGTGTTTGTTGTTTTTTGTTGTCATTTGTTGTTTGTTATGATGATCTTTTCTTGGGTTTCGAGGGTTCCGCTGCCTTGACGTTAGTGCATGTGTTAGAAACGCATATGAGTTTGTCAGATAGGCAAAACTGACCAACAGCATCGAGCCGTTGATCATCATCAAAACATGATGGATTTGACAAGAACCGCGCATGTATCATGCAGGCAGATGTTTGTCCAAGCACAAGCTGACATCTACATGAGCTTCTTTTTGTAATTATGCGCCCCATGAAGCCTTATCCTGTTCTACAACTTGTTTGCCGAGGCAAACGGCGCTCTGCTCCACGGTGACCGTTGCAGTGTCGTGGTAGGCCCAGGAAAAGAACACATCCAAACCACGGCAGGACTTTGCACTTTGCACCTCCATGCGTAAAAGCGGTTTATTCTTGGACTCGCCAACCCGCCTGGAGCCTGACATGTGCAACCTCAGCTGTAGAACGCAGTTCGCAATATCGGGCTATCTGACACCCGGCATGGACCGGACCGGTCGCAATAACCCCAGAGATCTCTACAGCTCTAAATTCTGCGCAACACCTCCGTTTAATTTGAGGTTTGCCCCGAGGGCTCCACGCCTGACATCGCGGAGGCGTAGCTTGGGGTTCACGGTCGAGGAATTGAAGATGAGGGTGCAGGGATGTTAAGGCTGAGGATGTGGGGAGCCGCACAGTTTTCGGCTTCAACACGATAGGGCGGGGATGGCCAATGTGGAGTGTGGAACTTGGCTTCTTTTCAGACCGCAGCACCGGGGCCACCACTCACCACTCTCCTTTTTTAGGGTTTAGGGTTTCGGGTTTAGGGCTTAGGGTTTAGGCCTGAAGCCCTCAACCCGAAACGCCCTGAACTTGCTGGAATGTCGACAGCCATTCTGAGGATTCGTGCTGAGGCTTGTTTAGCTTGAAGGGGTTGGGGTTTGGGGGTTTTAGTTTAAATGAGGCTCCAATTCTCACAAGCCTACCGACAGCCTATACATCCTACATACATGAACTTAGTAGCTGAGTGAGCGCACTTTACACTTTCTGGGATACTAGAACCCCCTAGAGATCACGAAAGTGTACACTTTTTTGGGGCTGATGAACTCAGCAACTAGGTGAAACACCCAAGCCCCAAACCCTCAGACCCCAGTCTGGCTTTAACCCTAGAAACGCTGGGCCGTAATCTGCATGAAAACGGTACAACCTTTAAACCCCTTAAGAAAAGAAAGCCCACACACACAAAACTCCATAAACCCTATAAAACCTTATAAACCCTGATCAAACCTTCTCAACCCTTATAGACACTGAAGGTGAGCTGTCGAGATGGCGTACTTGAGCCGGAAGGAGGCAGGGGGGTGGGGGGGGGGGGGTGGGGCTAGTTACCCGTGGAAAAAGATGCGGGGGGAGGCAGGCTTTCGGAGATCTCTGGAGGTGCGGGCTGTACCTTGGGGGACTTGGCTGTGCCTGCTTGCCACGCTGCAGGTCCCATCCAAGAAGCCCAAGCTTGCAAACCCGAAGCCCAGAATCTCGGAACCTTGAACCCCGAGAGGGCCCCGACCGGCAGACCCGACAAGGCCCCGAATGCATCCCCATGTGCACCTCCGCCCCGGACGTGGCCTTTGCGACGAACCTCGCTGATTGCGCCAGGGCCTCAGCAACACATCCAGGTTGTTTAGCACCCCTACGCCCTAAACCCCAAACCATGAATCTACACATTGATGTCCCTTCAAGGCACAGCACCTTCATTTTAGGTTTGGGGTTTACACAGGGCTTAGGCAACACAGACGGTTTACAGGGTTTGGGTTATAGGAGGGGCCAGAAAGTTGCAGAAGCCCCAATGTAGATCAACCCCGTACTGGGTTTGGGTTTGGGTTCTGGGATTCTGAAAGCCACTCCCCTGCAAGCTTTGTATGTTTAAGGTTTATGGTTTAGGGTTTAGGGTTTAGGGTCTAAGGTTTAGGAGGACCCGAACCCTAAACTTAGAGACATCTCCACCAGCCCAGGTGAACGTGGTGTCTGGTACCGTGTGCTCCATCCGCTGCGAGGCAAATCGTTGTGAGGGCTTTCGCCTGGGTCTCTCTAGGCTGTAGGACTGGCTGTAGGGCTTTCGGGTTTTCAAGAAGGCTAAGCCCTAAACCCTAAACTCCTAAACCCTGAACCCTAAACCCTAAACCCTGAACCCTAAACCCTAAACCCTAAACCCTAAACCCTAAACCCTAAACCCTGAACCCTGAACCCTGAACCCTAAACCCTAAACCCTAAACAAGACATGGGGCAAGAAAGACCAGGCTCCCAAGGATGCCCCATGCATGGAGTGGGAGAGCTGGGTGCTGGGTGATCGGAGCGGATATGCGAGCCGCCAAACCTTCAACGGGGTTTAGGGTTTAGGGTTTAGGGTTTAGGGTTTAGGGTTTAGGGTTTAGGGTTGAACCATAGAGTCCCAACCAAGATTTATTGACTTGGTTGAGGGTTTGGGTTTTTGGGGATATCGTAGAGGTTTCTGGGGTCAGGCTCCGAAAGCACACTTGAAGCCCAAAGGCTCCAGAGACTCTGAGCTCAATAAGGCTGGCTACGCGAAGACTGGGAGCCCGGCTGGCGGCTGAGGGCGAGCTTGCTGTAGGGTTTAGGGTTTAGGGTTTAGGGTTGAGGGTTTAGGGTTGAGGGTTTAGGGTTTAGGGTTTAGGGTTTAGGGTTTAGGGACTTCGGCGTTCGGGGTTCCGAGTTACGGTGTGGGGCAAAGCCCTAAACCCTATGTAGCACTCAAAACGCCACGAATAACAGCCAATGGCCTTTGGAACACCTTCGAGCCCCAACTGTTAGTCAACTTACGTTTGGTTACCACAAGACGGAAAACACATGTGACCTAATTTACGGATCTCACATCGACAGTCTTAAGCACTACGCTTCTGGCCACCACCAAAAAGAGACGCACGCGAGCCACACGGCCACAGAGCCACAAAGAGCCACACAGAGCCAGAGCCACAGCCACAGCCTCAGCCAGGCACCTAGATACATACAATGTTACCTTCCAAAACCCCCACAAAGCCCAACACGTAACACTCGAGGTCTGCGAACGCGGCACATGGACAATCGAGCGCTGTATGGCGCCTTGCACTGCGCCCGTGGCCGCGTGCTGAGGGGCTTTCGAGGTAAAATATAGGGGCTTTGATAATTACCACAGGGTTTTGGGGGTTAATTTAATCCATGTATCAAGGAACCATAAGGGAATACCATGAGTAATTCTTTCGACCCCCATTTTCGGCTTTCGGGCTTATAGGGTTCAGTTAGAGAGGGCTTAGGATTTCGAAACAAGGCCCCAGGGCTTTTGGAGTTTAGGCGTTCTAAGATTTAGGGGAGTTCAAGCAACTTTTTGGTCTCTCCATGTATTTTAGCAGGGTAAGGTTTGGGGCAGAGGCGTGTTGTTTTGCCGCGCTTCAGAGTGGTTGCTTACCCTGAGCCTCAATAACCCCGCCCTAAGACCCTAACACAAGCCCCTTCTGCAGTGGGCCGGGATGGTTTTTTTTTTGTGAGGTCGGCAATGCGAGCGACACCTCCAACGGCGCATGCAGCTTGGCTGCACAGATACCATGTCCGGCCTTCAGTCCAACCAAGTCCACGGGCAAATTGGTCATGAAGACGTGCCAACAGAGTAAGCAGCACAACCCTCTCTTTGAAGTCAAGTTTGTCACCTTAACAAGGGTCCACTTGCAAATTCGAAGTTTAGGTGTCGTCTTTGAAGCACACGGTTCCCCGTTCGCGCTGCAATCTAAGACCCAGAAAGAAGTCCTGGAGCCCAATTGGGACGGGGGGGGGGGGAGGTTGCGTGAGGCCACAGGTTCTTTTGTGGTGTATGAACACAACAACACGACCCTGTGCACATTTACATGGCTGTAAGATACACAGAACCCGATACACATCCGCTGGCTATTGCCGCCTGCCCTTAGCAGGTGAGAGCATTCCGGTGGATCAGCTGGCGCTGGCCTGAGACTACCTCTTCTTCGACGCTCCGTTTGTGCTCTCTGTGTTCCGTGGCGGTTTTTTTTGGACGCGAACCTTGCATCATCGCAGCAGACGCAGCTCCCGAGGTTCAAAGAATCATCGATAATTCGACGCTTTTGTTATCATTGACGCCCTGAGCATGGCTCTCCGTGCAGCCCTCCTCTTGGCAACCACCGTCGCGGCGGTTCCTGACGTTCCTGCTTCGGACTGGTGTTCCTGGGTTCCCTTGAAGGCCTTCAAGTACGTGAGCGACTGCAACACCAGCACGAGCCAAAGAGAAGTCCCCACCAAGAAGGGCTGTGTCGCCTGGTGCCCCTGGGTGCCGGTGCCCTCATGGCCGGCAGTGCCCGACTGCCAAGCGTGCAACGCGACCACCGAGAAGAGCGAAGTATCCACGGAGCCGACCGAGAGGGTCGAGATCGAGTCGCCCAGATCCCGACTGAAGGTGAAGGCCGAAATCCGCTTCCCCGATTGGTGTCGCCAGGTGCCGCTGGGAAGCTTGCAGTACGTGAGGGAGTGTAGTGGAAACACCCTCCCGGAGCTGTCAAAGAGTGGGACCCAGCCTTGCGTGAGCTGGTGCCAGTGGGTGCCCGGCCCTTCCTGGCAGTACACCCCCAGTTGCCGGGGTTGCTCTCAGCATGGGGCCACCAGTGGCACAAATACGCCAACCCCAGGCGCCGCAACCGGTGGAAGATGCGTGGGTTGGTGCTCCTACGTGCCGAGCCCTTCGTGGCAATACACCCCCGACTGCTTCGGCTGCTCGCAACGCCCAGCTGCCACACCAGGCTCCGGAAGTCCTTCCACGCCTCAGAGACCCCAAACCAGCACCTGTGCGAGCTGGTGCGGGTGGGTGCCCTCCACCTCCTGGCAGTATTCTCCAGAGCCTTGGCAGCCCAGTGGTATACCCTTTTGCCCTTCTTGGCATTGTTTGGGTTCCCTTATATATAAAGGTATATTATATATATATATATATATATATATATATATATGGAGAGAGAGAGAGAGCGCGACCCCACTAAAAGCCGTGTACCCTCATTTTTGCACGGCTTTCTTCAAGGAGTGCCGTGGCTGCTCGGGAGCTCAACCGGTCGGCCCCGCGTCGCCCATCCACACGAACGGAAGCTGCGTCAGTTGCCAGGTAGGCCCTTGGGAGATTTTTTCCTATTTTCCCTTCCTGGGTTTAAGAGGTGGTGTTTATATATATATATAGATATATATATATATATATACATATATATATATATGTACATATAATGTATACATATATATATATATATCTATCTATATTGTTTTTCCCCTATGAAGCTTAAGAGGATCATATTCAGGAAATTTACTAGGGCCATCCTAGGTTGGTGCCAGTGGGTCCCAGGCCCGTCGTGGCAGTACACCCCTGACTGCCGAAACTGCTCGACCTCCGAAGGCGTGACCCACGTGACCCAACCAAGCAATGGAACTTGCGTGGGCTGGTGCCAGTGGGTGCCCCTGGCTTCCCGGCAGTATACTCCAGAATGCCGCAGCTGCTCCGGGCAAGCCCCTGAGACAGTTGGGCCAGCAGCTCCCATCGCAAGCAACATCCGCTGTGCAAACTATTGCAAGTGGGTGCCCCGCAACTCCTGGCAGTACACTCCCGACTGTCGCAGCTGCTCTGGAAACATCTCTTCCCCTCTGCCCGTTGGTCCAGCGGCGCCGGTCAACGCGAGCAGCACAACATGTGTGGACTGGTGCCAGTGGGTCCCCACCCCCTCATGGAACTACACTCGCGGCTGTCATGGCTGCTCTGGACAAGAGCTGGATGGACCATTCGTGCCGAGCAGCGGAGGCAACGGAAGCTGCGCGGGCTGGTGCCAGTGGGTCCCGCAAGGCTCGTGGCAGTACACGCCCGATTGTGGCGGCTGCTCCGGCCGAGTTTCTTCCCGACCCCGTCCGGATGTCACTTCGCCGAATGGCACGCATGAGAATTGCGACAACTGGTGCAGGTGGGTTCCCTTCGCCTCCTGGCAGTACACCCCAGATTGTCATGGCTGCTCTGGGGCCGCCGGGGCCGGGCAGCGACCGGAGCGTCCTGTCCCCACTATTGGAAGCGGCTGCGCTAGCTGGTGCGAGTGGGTGCCATTCCCATCCCAGCAATACACGCCCGAGTGCCGCACGTGCTCTCAGGCATCCCATGGAAGTGAGACTGGCACCCAGCCATCCCAGCCATCTCAGGCAACTCCGCTAGGCGAAGGGTGTGCCAGTTGGTGCGGCTGGGTGCCCGGTCCATCGCATCAGTACACGCCAGAATGCCGAGGCTGCACCCAGGGAAGCGTCACTGAGGTAACTTCGCCGGCCACTTCTCCTGTGGGAGGATGTGCCAGCTGGTGTGAGTATGTTCCACCATCAGCGTGGCAGTACTCCGCTGGCTGCACGGGCTGCTCTTATAAGACCCTGCCTCCTGTGTAAAGCATCAGGGTCGAGGCAAAGATCGGCGGTTCAGTTTCGGCAGCCGTGAAGCGGAGGTTTGATGGCTTGCCTTGTACAGACTTAGAGCCCCCAGATTCCAGATTGCATAGAACAGGTTGGCGCCTCAGTCAACTCTTATATAATTCGTTTGCCACATGCGCAAGTGCAGCACAAGCTGAAAGCCAGAGGAAAGAAGGTGAAAACCAGCCTAAGTTGCTGGAAGTGTTGTTTCCGAAGCCCTTACGCCACATTGCTTTGCACTGCTGCCTGCAGCTTCGCCTGAAAATGCATCGGAGCCACAGAAGACTCAAGACACCAAACCCTAAAACCTAAACCCTAAATTTAAGCCAGGTCCCTCATGGCAGCTCCTGCCGCCCTTCCTGCAAGCCAGGCCCGGTGGCCCTTCAAAGTTCCCTCTGAGGCTTCACCAGGTTCCGGGTTGAGGGGGTTTAGGGTTTAGGGTTTAGGGATTACCTGGGACCCCCTGTTTTTACCTACAGCTTTATGGGTCATACCGTCATACCTACGAATGAAGGGTCAGTACTACTGCAGGGGAGAAACTTCCCAGGTAGAGCACACTGTATAGGGGTTTGGGGTTTAGGGTTTAGGGTTTAGGTTCCCGGGACTGATTTTCGGGTTTCTGTTGGGTTTTAAACTGGATTGAGATGTGAGATTACATGAGCTGCCGAAACCCGAAACCCGAAACCCCGAATCCTAAACCCTGAGCCCTAAACCCTAAACCCTGCACCCTATAAAGCCCTAAATCCTAAGAACCCTAAACCCTTAACCCCTAACCCCTAAACCCTAAACCCTAAACTCTAAACCCTAAACCCGCATTTCCGGAGGTTTCACTGCTGAAGTGCCGGACGGGCTCCTGCAGCTCAGCTGCAGCGCTTGGACCTTAGCTTCTTGGGCTTCTTGGGTTCCCCTCTCTGGACTTTTAAGGTTTAGGGTTTGGGGTTTAGGGTTTAGGGTTTAGGGTTAGGGTTAGGGTCTAGGGTTTGGGGTTTAGGGTTTAGGGTCCAGGGTTCAGGGTTTAGGCAAAATCGTGCGGCTTTGGGTGGAGACAGTGTGGGAGTCTTTAGACTTTTTTGTATGTTCTTCGTATGAAGCAGTCTGTAGTTTAGGGTTTAGGGGTTAGGGTTTAGGGTTTAGGGTTTGGGGTTTAGGGTTTGGGGTTTAGGGTCTGGGGGTTTAGGGTTTAGGGTTTAGGGTTTAGGGGTTTAGGTATTATATCGGATTCTTAGGCGGCCTCGGCGTAGCTTGCGAGGGCCCCGCAGCTCTGAAAGGACAGCCTTCAACACCACTCTAAACCCTAAACCCTAAACCCTAAACCCTAAGCCCCACAAGGAGTTAGGGTTGAGGAGCTTGGTTCTGCCAGGATGGTGTGCTGTCGCCGAGAAGCTTCCTGTGCCGCTCCGCCTGTACCGAGGCGCTGAGCTGGAATCCCCTAAACCCTATAAACCTCATAAACCCCTAAATCCGAAGCCCTAAACCCTAACCCCTAAACCCTGAACCCCATAGACCCCACAATCCCTAAACCCAGAACTTGGGTCCTTTGGAGCTTCTTGCGTTCCGAGGCTTAAAAGGGCCGGGATGTGTGCATGGGCTGAGTTGGTGGAGTAGCCATCCCTGAGCCCCTTAAAAAACTCGATGAATCCCACCAGACGCCCTACAAACAACGGCTTGGGGTTTGGGGTTTAGGGTTTGGGGTTTAGGGTTTAGGGTCTAGGGTTTAGGGTTTAGGGTCTAGGGTTTAGGGTATCGTTCTATAAACCCCTTAGAGTTTGGAGCCCCAGATGGGTCCACCAGAGGTGCCGACCGTCAACTTTGCCGTCTGGGGCGCCCAGGAAGTGTATGCAGGGTGGTATGTACTTGGAGGCTCATGGTACTCATTAACCAATAAAGACTTTGAACTGTACTTCTAGCTGCACTTAGAAGCCTCTTAAGTGCCCGAATATGGTAGAAGTACAGCTACAAGGACAATCAATACTTGGTTAGTGCGTACACATGAACCTCCAAGTAGGGTCTTGACTAAGGGTCCAGGCACCTCATGTTTCTGTACTTGGGCCCCAAAGTCCCGATGGCAAAAAGGTGCATTCAGGCCCAAGTGCTCCGTATTTCGGTACATGAACCCTTCGGGTCGTACGTTTAGGCCATGTGTGGGGGGGGGGGGGTGGGGGCGCCCCCCAGTGTGCACATGGGTGGACTACCCTAAACCCTAAACCCTAAACCCTAAACCCTAAACCCTAAGCCCTAAGCCCTAAACCCTAAACGGGCCCAGGATCAGTCCCTGCTGGCACAGTGCTCCGGCACTCCGCACAACCACACGTGCGTGCTGCCCTGCGTCGGAGGACGCGAACTCTGCTCCGCAGCTTTGCTTGCCGGTTTAGGGTTTAGGCGGTTTAGGGTTTAGAGTTTAGGGTTTAGGGTTTAGGGTTTAGGGTCAGGGTCCCCCTTTCAATATGCGGTTTACGATGAAAGCGGTACTGATGTTGGGGTCCTTTGTTAAAGGGAATCTTCCTATTTGAGGGTTCATATTTGGGGCCCCTTTTTGATTTCTCGTTTGCACCCATATGCTTCAACGGGCTGAGGGTTCAGGGGGCACGGCAGTGTCTGGGATTGCCCGTAAAACCTTAACCCTATGAAGCCGAAAATTTCAATCAATCCTATTAACCCTATACTTGATGACTCCTTCAAGCAGATGGGCCCGGCGCTAGCTGTTTTAGCTAGAGACCCTGTATCCGCGAACCCCAACCTCAAAAACCCCTAACCCCCCGGTGTCTCTACCTGGGACTCTATGCACCTACAGCTTAGTAGTAAAGAGGGTCCCAGGTACGTTGGCTCTTGTTTTTTGGGGGGAGGCTGTAAGGGGCAACGCAACTGCAGCTGCTTTTGCCGGAGAACTGCCGGTCGCACTGTCTTTAGAGTTCTATGGTTTGGGGTTTAGGATAAAGGGTTCTGATGTATGGGCCCTGAATTTGTGTAGGGCCTATAAGGGGCATATAAGGGGTCCCCTTTTTCGCCTCGGAGGACATGTCAAGAGCGCAGATCTCGTGTGCAATGCCCGCAGCTCAGCCAGACGTCCCATATTGCCGTGTGTTGGTGTTGGAGTACTATACTTTAACACTTTTGTTGGTTCTGGGTTCCTATTATAGCTACTTATACCCAAAAAAGTATATACTTTTTTCCAGGGTCTACTCCAAAGTAGGGTAAACCTCGTCTCCCAACATGCAGGTCCCCTCAAGTTTCTACAACCCACGAACAGACATTGTTTCGGAACAGCCCTCCCCCACCCACCCCCCCCTCCCCCCACCCCCCCCAACCCCCTCCCCCCCCCCCCCATTTCCATGTCGAGGCCTCAAAAAACGCTTGAATGAGGATAGGTCACCAAACAACAGATCCTAAGCCCCAAACCCTCAACCCTAACCCCCCCCCCCCCCCCCCAAACCCTGAACCCTGAACCCTAAACCCCGAACCCTACCCCGGCCCTTATGCGGATGAAGAGGTCTCAGGGTCCGCCGCAAGGTTCTCCCAAAGAGTGGCGAACTGGGGCATGCCCCTCCTACAGGGAGGGTTTAGGGCTGAAGGGGCTGAAGGGGCTGAGGGTGCCCCTCTTGCTGTAAGCAGGGTTATTGGGCCCTAACTTGGGGTTCAGGGTTTAGGGATTAGGGTGTAGGGCTCAGGGTTTAGGGGTGGGTTGAGGGTTCTTGAAGTTCGTGTTCAGGTTTCGGGGTGTGGGTTAGGGCTTAGAGGGTTTAAATTAAGGGAAAAGAGGGCCTTGGCAGCTTCTACGTTTCGGGTTCATGGTGTCAAGAATAGCTAGGGTTTCGGGCTTTCGGGCAGGTTACCCAAACACTAGAACCCTTCAGTTTCCAAGAACCCCCCCCCCCCCCCAAAAAAAAAAAAAAAAATGCAGGGTGATATGGGTACATCAACCACGTCAACCCCCAAAACCGTGCCAGCCCCAATTGAAGCCCTAACCCCCGAGGATGGTATCTCTAAACTCCCAAACCCCAAACCCCAAACCCCAAACCCTAAACCCTAAACCCTAAACCCTAAACCCTAAACCCCTGAGGATGGGATCTTCAGCAACGCTTCCTGCATCAAGCTGTGCTACGAGCCGCCCTTTGTGGCCAACGCGCTCCCTGCGCGCGGCTCAAGCGCCCTAAACCCTAAACCCCAAACCCTAAACCCTCCCAATGCCCAAAACCCTAACCTCTCAGGTTTGAAACCACGGGCCCTTTAGCGTGGTCTGCTACCCTGGTTAATAATTAGTAGGGATCCTAAGTAAGTATGCCCCTGTTATGTATAGTGCATATAAGGGTTATATAACGAGAGACCCTTCGATAAACCCTCAACACTAAACCCTTCCGATAGATGGGCCCTGTGGGAGACTTCGGGTCTTGATAGGGGAGCTTGATGAGGGTAGCAAGGAAGGGTTTTCCGGTGGAAGCTGTAGCCAGTGTAGCCCAAAAGCCCCTGACGTTGGCCATCGCATGCCATCATCGAAGCATGCGGAAGAGTGATTGACGTCATTGTCCTGGGACGTGGAAGGATCCGGAAAAGGATCTGCTGGATGCCAGACACCCCCGAGCCCGCAATCCTGGATCACACACCCTAAGCCCCGAAGACCCCAAACTCTAGGGTTTTAGGGACCCCTAAACCCTCAACCCTCAACCCTCAACCCTAAACCCTAAACCCTAGGGTTTAGGGACCCTAAACCCTAAACCCCATGTCCAGATCTTGGGCTGCAGCGGCCGGCCATCGGGCTCCACGTGCGACATCCAATGCCCGGGCCCAATGAGGGTCCGAGATCTTTCAGGACATTTCAGGACTTAGGGTTTAGGGTTGAGGGTTGAGGGTTTAGGGTTTAGGGTTTAGGGTCCATGTACCTAATTAGTGTTTTCTTGGGCCCCAAGGTCACTATAATATAGTAGGTACTTTAAGGCCCAAGTATTCCCGCTTTAGGTACATGGACCTTTGGGGTTTGTTTAGGG